ACTCACATGAATCAAATCATATCCCCTGCATTCTAACTAAGTCAGGTCTTACTTTTAGTTCTGACTCTATGACCCCATTCAAAGGTCAAGGGTGACTCTTCCCTTGGACAGATGACACCGCCAGCATTTAGCATGACATCTATCTTTCTTGACAAGAAAAATCAAGGCCATCTGTCTTCTTAACAGATCTGGCTTAATACGATATCTAAACGTGAGCAGCGTCTTCCAACCACAACTCAGAATGCTGCTTTCAGCCCAGGATGGTTACCTTCCATCCTTTCTCCCCTTAGAATATTGTCCCACAGATATCAGACAGCCCTAGGAGCGGTAGAAAGAAATCCTCAGGTGCAGCTTCTCCCCACCTAGCCTGCCTTTTGGCACTGCTCCCCAAGACCTCAACTGAACACCCAGGTTGAAAGATAAGCAGAGGCTTACATTGCACCTCTCCCCTATCATCCTATCTTGAGACCTCTTTCCTCAGGAAGCACATCTGAGCTTCTCTCCTATGTACTGGTCCACCATCTTTTTACTTTGGCTTTTGGTCAGCGAAGAAGACAAAATCTCAAGGGTATTCTTCAAGGGATTCAAGCACAGGAGTAGGACACATGTTTAGCTGTACTTCCTCTTTCCACATTACAATTGAGTCTTGTCCTTCTGGATGGACAAACATGATGTTAAAATCTACAAGTCGAAGCAAAGAAGAACTTACTTCAATCGTCCCAAATTCTGAAGAAACCAGGATCAGCTCCATACTGTGGAAAGAGGTATGGCACAAAAGGGTCAAGCAAGAAGTTCCTCGATTACCTGCTCATTGGCAAGGCTGGCATGTGGGTTCAGAGGCAAGCATCAGTCAGGAAGCCATTCCTCTGATGTGTAAGGACATAGGTTGGTGAATGGTTGTGTGACAAGAAAACATGATACCTGGTCACTTTCGAGGAGAACTGCAGCTTGTTATCATGAACGTCAGCCTGGGTACTTAGTGCTAAATTCTGCAATCAGACAAATGGAGAACAGAAGAACGTAAGCAGAGTTCTGAGGCTGGATTAGACCATCAGCCCTTCAAATCTGGCTTTCCACATCACCCAGTCTCCAGTGGAGGTATCTGGGAAGCTCGCAAACTGAACTGGAGAGCAAGGGCCTTCTTCCAGTCTCGCTTCCCAGCTGTTGCTTAGGATTCAGGAGCGTGACACAGCTGTCAGTATGGCCATTAGTATTTGTAGCCTTTGATAGCTCTAGGTGGGTGGCAAAGGGCACAGCTGTTCTTTCTTCACGACATTTGTTGGTCATGTTGAAACCCCTTGTTCCTGTACTTACAGCCCTCAGAACAAAGAGGCCGTTGAGGGCTCCAGAAGGACTCGTCACTGAGAAGGAGATCTCGACTGAAAGGTGAATGATGATCAGGCTGGGCTCCAGGATGATCTTCTTAGATCCCACTAAAGTAATGGCAATTTTCAGTGGAGGTTGGATAGGACACTTGTGGCACTGTAAACATTGGAGACACAAGCAAAGCTCAGAAGCTGCCAGATGTCTCCAGCCGCCCTTGGCTAGAAAGCTGTGTTTTTGCCTGGAGGGACATGCAGAACAGAAAATGGATTCCCACCCCAACAAGCCATCATCATCATCATCATCATCATCATCATCATCATCCCAGGCCCTTGATAAGGACTCAATAAGTGGATAAAAAACTAAACATCTGACTGACTGTGCGACCAACGCTAATTTGTATACTGCCCAACTCCCATTGTCTGAGTGGCTCACAACAAACAGATTACAATAAAACCAATAAAAGATAAAAGATGACAAGCATGATGGACTGGATAGAATGAAGCAAGAGGTCTCACTCTCTCTTGCCAGAGGTCATCTAGAAGAATGACCTTTCCTGGCAACTCTTCCTAATGCCACCCTTCCCCAAAGGATGTCTTCTGGCCTGGTGTGTCTTCACCTGCCACCATTCTCAGCCAGCAAGGCCACGTGGCTAGGAATTCGAGGAGTGGCAGAGTCCCGAGCAATCTGGAGGGTGCCCAGTTGGCAAAGACACTGTTCAACATGGGATGTCCCATCCTGCATTCTCTCAGCTACAGGTTGGGAGAGGAACAACAGGGCCATTTTAGGCATGGCAGCAATTCCACGGAAGACCTTCTGGAGAGAGCATGACATGGCCCTACCCTGTGCTTTCAAAGGGCTGGTGCTAGACTTAGGGCAAATACTGACAGGTCTCAGGACGTGGGGGCATAAAGCTGAGCATGAATCTCTTTTCCAAACCTCTCCCCCCAGTTTGCACCCCTTCTGAAAAAGCCCCCCACCCCGCCGGGGAGGAGTTTCTTCCCAAGGTCTTCCTGTGGGGTTGAAAGGAAGAGCAGAAGTCCAGGCAGGCAGCAGACCATGGAGAACGAACCGTGCACTGAAAGGTGGGACAGTCACCCCATCACCTCCTCTCTGCGCGCAAGAACATCACAATCCATCAGGGAGAAGGCTTCCTAAATGCTCTTATTTCAAAGTAATTATGAAAGCAAATTTCCTCTCATTAAACTGATGGAGAATGAATAGGACACAAGCTGGATCAGACGCCTTCGATTTCCCCAAAGGCTGAAGCTAGTCCTTCCCAGGCCAGACGTGGCATGCATGGAGTGACTCACTGAGGAAGGGATTAAGCAACCTGCCTGGACCCCCCCGCCCCCCCGCCCCCAACTCTGAATCCTCCAGTCCTCATTTTCACTTCTCGAGTAAAGGCTGGGATGTTTAAGTTGGCTCTCCAAGGTGTGTTGCGGTGAACTTGGCAGGGAGCCTTTCCCTCCCCTCTTCAGCGCAGCTCTTGCGAACCGCAATCTTAAAGCTAAATATTTTATTGGGCTGTGCTTTCGAGGCACAGCTTTTATTAATCACGGCTGCCTTGTTTTGCGGTGTTGATCATGCCTTAAGACGGGATAGGAATTTGCTCGAACGGGCTCACGTGTCACTTACCTTCTGATGTGAAAAGAGGCCTGCAATAACAGCCGTCAGCTCCGTGGCACCAGAAAACTGTGGGGACAAAATGTCATTGTATTTGAAAGGGGCAATCTGCATGAAAACAACACCACACCACACCACACCACACCACACAACACAACAATGGGCTCGTTTTTCTTCCTAGATCTACCTCAGTCAGCTTGATCCCTCAGATGAGCCCAGAGAAAATTCATTTCCTATCTGTGGATGACACAAAGTTGGGTGGGAGAGGTAATTCCGTATAAATAAAACTGTTTCGGAATCTGGAAAGTTAGAGGAACGGGCTGAAAATCAGCATGAAAAAACTCAGAGGGAGGGCATCGATGTGAAAGGAAAACATCAATGGAGACATGGTGTGAAGGTCTGCAGGTTGGAATTACTGCAAGCAAGGAATTGCTAGCTAGCATTCACCCATCATGGATCAGGTCGGAGGGAAACATTCACCTTTGCTCCCACCAAGATCTAGGGTGGGGTGGATTCTTTTGCACCCAGGACAACCCAGCGGGGGCTTGCTCATACATTGCCTAGATGCAGATGGACTTTTGAAGTAACCGCTGCTGAGAAAGGGGTTCGGAAGATGTCTCCCTGAGTCCCCCCTGTGAATTGCCATGAGCCAAACCGATTTTCCTTCCCCCACGAGAGTTGCTATTCCTACTCACCACTTCTGGCGTGCCGCTGAACTCTTGCACTGGGATCTGAATGAGGACTCCTAAAATGACATTCAGGTTGTCCTGAGTTATGCCTAGGCTGAAAGCATTATCCTGCAGGGAGGGCAGTGGGATGGGGGATTTGCTGAAAGGAACAATGAAGAAGTGGTTTTTGGTCCGAAGAATCATCTGAAAAGAGAGAAGGTGAAAAACACTTGGCTGAGGTCAGTCACAGCAAGGGTAGCCCGCTATGGCTGTAGTGGTGGCACCTGGTGGAAGGGTCAACTTTCAGACCCGCATTCCCTGGAGAGTAAGCCAGGTTGAACGAGGGGGATTTCTACTGGGGAGCGGGCAAAGTCCAACTACCCCTCCACGGGGGATCTCCAGCATTGTTGGACCTTAGCTTCAGAATCATATCTGGAAAGTCTGCCTGGGAGAGGGCTACAGAGGAAGGCATTTTGCTGGCCTCAAATAACCTGGAAGTTACACCCCTCTATTTTAAGCCACTTTGAGGCACTCTGCCAGGTTGTGTTTGCAAAACAGGTTATGCAGGTTTTGCGATCAGCAAGCTGGAGCGAGTAGAGTTTCAGATGAAGGGTGGCTGCCTCACAGAGCAGTCCTAATGCACGAAAGGAGTCACAGAGGGTCTTGCTGGGTCCACGCAGAGCCTTGCTGGGGGTGTCTCGTAAAGAAACTGCCCATGCGCCCTTTATTGTGGGACAGGAGGACCTTGATCCAGAATATCTTGGAACCCCAAGGTGTACTGCTCCTGAATACGAGCAGTTGCCATTCCTGGGTCTCACTGCTAATGACTCCTGATGGGACCACCTGGGGAGGGGGGGGCTTCTATAAAACCAGAGGCAAGAGAGACAGGCTGGAGATTGCTCTGCGTATAGCTGTGCATTGTGTTGTATTGTTGGATCTTGGTCAGCTGCCACCTCCCCAGACTGATAATAATGGCTGGGGATGATGGGTGTTGTAGTCCACCCTACCCCCAAGCCGCCAGGTGCTCCCCCAGGGGAGGGGAAAGAAGAGTGCTTGAGTCCTCCATCCACCTGGTCGGCCCTCTAACCAACCCCGCTGCTTACATTTAACTCGAACACGTAGTAAGCTGACGAGATCACCGGCCTGCTGGCCAGCTGAGATTGGATGGACGCCACCGGACCCACGTGGAGAAACACTGCCGGGGAAACACAGATGTGTCATTAAGGTTCCGGATACAGTACACACAACTGCATTATGCCGGTGTGTGGTGGGCCTGATCAGTTTTACAAATGACCAGAACATTCTTTGCCAGGCTTTGCGTGTGGGAACTCAAGCTGTAGTTTTGGCCAGGGCAGTGAAAGGCCTTGCAAACCATATCACGCAACACGCAAAACTTGGTCAGGGTTCATTTTTTAGGAGCGCGTGCACGTGTGTGAGAGAGACAGTCGGCAACTGACACAAATCCAGCCCGTTTGATTAGCTTCTGGTATTTTGCCAACCCAGAACACAGCTTAAAAGCCCCTTTTCTTCCTTTTATTTATGAGTCAAACCCAATCTGATGCCAGTCTGGCCAGTGCGTGTTAATAAATATGAGGAGGAATCAGGACTGGGTTTTGGTCACCGTCCTTGTCAACACAACTATGGTGTGCAGGTGAAGGCAGGGTCACAGGAATGACCAGAGTCTCCCTTCCTTGGGTGGTGATGGAGGCCCACAGATGAATCGGTTCAACGACACAGGTATACTTGGTCTGCTTAATCGGCCCAGGCCATGTGCCCTGAACCACGCAGGACCTTGTCCAAGGATTTGGGGGGGGGCACGTAGGGCACGTAAAGAGCATTTGGGTGATCAAGACAGTCAAGATGGTGGTTGTGACCATGCAAATGAAGCTCTGCCCCTTTTTTATGATGCACGTAACAAAGAGGCGGGGCTTCAATCAGGGGATCATGGTTGCCATCCTGACTTTTTTGACCCCCCACAGACGGGACTAATGGAAAGTGATGTTCAGGGCTGGAGCCCTTGTTACAAAGATGAAATTAAAGCCATGGTGGGGAGGAAAGCCGGCAACTCCCTGTGGGCTCCCTGGTGCCCCTGGGCACCAGGCTGCCAACCCCTGCTATGGCCAAGGAAGCTAGCCCAGCTACAGTGAGCCTGAGAGAAGGCCAGGCTGGAGAGGGGATGGGGGGCCAGGGGGGGACGGGCGGGCAGTGCCCAGCCAGGCCAAGAACTCACCATCTACCGTAGAGAGAAAATCGACCCTCACGATCCCAATGGCCTGCTGCAGCGCTTCGCAGAGCTGAAAGGAAGGGGGGAGAATTAACGGAAGGTCCCCCCCGCCCCGTTGAACAAAGACGCACCTGCTGGGCATTTCTAAGGGGCTTCCACGCTAGGCATTTCTCCAGAGTGATATTCCTCTTATTGCATGCCTGGGCTTGGTGTTCGGGTATTACCCAGCTTCAGGGATGTGACTGTTCTTGATTTCCGGCACTGGGCCCAGTTTTCAAGAAGGCGAGATAAAAGTGGCCGCCGCCCATTCTTAAAGCCAACCTCCCCCCCCCAATAATTGCCAGCAACGAAAGGGACAGACCCTCCCCTCCGTGGCTCCTGGCTAGCGTCAATAAATCACTGCAAAAATACCAGATTCCAGCCAAGATGGTGTCAGGGGCCATGTGGTGCAAGCCTCACCCCATTCTACATTGTTTGTACATTGTTCGTAAAAGAGGCGTGGTTGCAGCCAACATCTTGACTTTTCTGACCACCCTGGGGCTACCCCCGGCTCTTCCCACACTGCCGAAACCCCTTCATGGTTCTGGCTTGCTCCGATTTGCTCCGTCCTGCTCTCCGTCTCCTTTGTCCCAGGGAGCCATCGGAGGTCAAGGCAGCTGCCTCCAAGGATTACGCGGAGGAAAAGAGGGCGACCTGCGCAGCTTCCTTGCCAGTCTTCCCATTGCCACCTCTGCTGCCATCCCGAGCTATGATTTGCCAGCCACTTACCAACCTGGGCAGTGAAGCTGTGAGGACAGTTTTTACAATGGGCTTCGCCTTGATCGTTTGCAGGCTGCAGAAACAAGCGAAGAGGGGAAAGAAGAGGGGCTGTTTTCCTCCCACTCAGCAACCCTTAACCCCCCCCCCTTGTCTACCAGCACCCTTGTCTTGCCCAACCCCCCCACCTCCTTGCAAAAGCAAAAAGGCCCACCGTGGGAAAGTCTGGAAGGCCTGATTCTGGGGCGTCCGGAGGGCAGGATGTGGGCAGAGACCCCGCCGACGCAGGCGGAAGGTGGCACTCTTAGCAAATGTCCACCAGCCCATGTAAAATGTTTCCTTCTGGGCTGGGCGGGGTAGAGGAGGCCCGGGCATTTGGGGTGGGGGGGAGAGTCAAACAAGTCAAGACGGCGAACATTCCTGCACAGTACAAGCCCCATCCTTTGTTAATGTCCATCTCATGGGGTCCGGCTTTGATCATCTGGTCGTGGCTGCCGTTTTGGCTTTTTCGACCCCCCCTCAGAATTTGCCATGCTCACCAGCAACCAAATACCAAATCTGAGGAGCATGAAAGTGCTGTGTGAGAGGTCAGATCGGAAAATGCTCCTCATTCCACTCTCCCTGTTCACTTTCACAAGGTGCTTTGGCCGTTCTGGCACCCCGGGAGCGCAAACCTGCTCCGGCTGGGTGGGGCCAAAACTTCAGCTTTGGGTGGCAACTTTGCTCAGCCAGAGGTGTCACGCCTGGGGAAGGATGTGATGAAGTTTTGGAACAGGGTTGAGAGCCGTGCTGGCAGCTCCCGCGGCTGGTGACTTGGAAGTACGTCAGGACTTACCGGGAAGAGCTGATTATCCTTGCAACTTTGAATTCAGCATGGCACGACCTAAACGAAACGTCGACGACTCCCAGCCAAAAGCTGCCGAAGCTGAGTTCCGTTTTTACGCTCACGTCGGTGATGATGTCGATCCGTTCGGAATGCTTGCCGAAGAAGCTAAACCACAAAGAGTCATTAAACACAGCAGCTCCGGCCCAGCCTGCACCGGGTGGCAGAGTTTTCTTTCTGCTGCCACCCTCACCATCCAACGTCTAGAGCAAAACAGAGGCTATTGGATACGTTCAAAAATCCAGCAATGAACTGTACCGTTTTGTATTCCATAGCTTGTGGCAAAATTTTGTTTGGGGAGAGAAAGCAGCGTGGTATTTGTGGGTACAAACAATTCCACCAACTCCTCCCCCCCCGCCCCAATTCAAACCACCACCACCACCAGGAATATTCAATAATGAAATGAGAAGGTGACAGGCTGGAAAACAAAGCACCAACCTTTTGCATCATCTTTACTTTCAAGAATCTCTCTGTTAAAAATGGTGAATGCGGAAGGAAAGCTGGGAGGGGAGACAGCATCCTGGAAGGCTGGCGGGGAAGGCAGAGGATGCAGCCCTTTTGTGAGACCACCCACAGCATGCTTCACAAATCCAAAGGTCCCTCCCGGCCCAAAACATCTGCTTCCCCTGCTTTTACCTGGCCAATGAAACTCTCTTTATGCTGAACTTCTGCACTCAGCTCATACATTTTGGGACTTAGCACGGTGACTAGGAATAATAAGTAGATGCATGATTTTAATCTAGTCTTCTCCAACTTGACCTCCAAATGTGTTGTGGCTGAAGCTCCCAGAATTTCCAGTCAGCATGGCCAAAAGGTGGAATTCTGGGAGTTGTGGTCCCAGCACATCTGGAGGGCAGCCAGTTAGGAAACAAGGATGGATCTCCTGCTCCTGGGCCTCCGGGTTTACAGGCAGGTCCTTCAAACAGGCAAGACAGGATGAGCTGCCTGATCTACCTTCCTACTTCAGAGGAGAACCTGCCACATTCACTGGGTGGCCATGAGGGGGGAAATACGCGGCACTTCATGGAATCTTGCTCCACGTCCTGATATGGCCTAGCATTCATTCCATCCTCAGTGTTCATCAGCTCTTGTATGGTGGTCTCTTTGTCCAAAAAAGCCTCAGGGCCTGTATTTCATTTGGCTGAAAATTACTTCTTGGGATGGGACAAGATTGAACAAAACTGAGCACACTCTTTCATTCCATGCTGTCTGTAATACTGACACGTCCTGTTGAAATGTTTCTGTGCGATCTCTTCTGCAGAAGGCTTCATTTGGAGAAATGGACTTGAAATGAAGGCAACTGATATCAGACGGAGAGCGGAAAAGGCTCAGGACTCACAATTTAGCACTTAAGTGTAGCCTGGTCTTGACAGTTAGGGTGGCAATTTCGTCTCGCATTCTCATCTGGATGTAGGGCACAAACACCCTCACCACGTGCAACCTGAGGAAGGAGAAACAGAGGCTGTGAGAAAGGAGATGTTTGGAATGGTCGAGGCAGTTTATCTCAGAACCGACGTAGTGTGGGGTGGACCGAAGGTCCTCACCCAAAACTAAGCCAAGCCTAAGGCCATCTAATCAGAGCTGGCAGTAGAGGGCCAATAACTGGGTTGGGCAACCTTTCCCAGATGCCTTGGGTTGCACCTCCAGCATGGCCAGCACAACAGTTGGGGAAAACTGGGCTGTTGGAATAGAGGCAGGATGCTTGAGGGTCCCCAGGGGGAAAGCTGGGTTACGGTGTCCATCTAGGACTGGGGAGACCCTGCTCAAAACCCCCACTTAATCCTGAAGCTCACAGGGTAAAACTGGGCCAGCCAGTGCTGCTCACTCTAACTTCTGGGCCTACATGTCTTCTTATCCACAGTGTTTTCTTGACATTGACATACTGTTCAGTCATTTAAAATCAAGGCGGAATAAAATTCTCGTAAATCTGTACATACAGAAATGGGCTTGCTCTTCCTTTCTTCTCAGATTTTTTGTTTGGTTTTTAATGGTCCCATTGAGTCTAAGCTGTGCCATTTCGTGGTGGTCTCTCTTGCAACATCTAACCGGGTCCAACTCTGCTTAGCTTGTTGTAGTCAGCCAAGGCTGCATGGGTGTTTCCATTCCACTGAAGACACTTTGGGCAATTAATTTCTTGGCAATAGTGTGGAAGGGAATTGACACCTTTGTATTATTCAATCCTTCATCTTCAGTGACACCACTGTGTGCGAGCGTGGATGATTTTCTAGCGTAGCCAAGGGCCCTGGGACTTCCTGGTTTGATCCTGCTTAGCTTTCTTCAAGATCAGCTAGGTACACTAAATTTAATAAATAATAAAAGTACGGTGCTCCTTCCTGCCCTACAGGCTCTCGGGGTGTGGGAGAAATGTAAGGAAGGCTGCTTGCAGGGAGCCATTTTTGCACCAAGTGGGGCCTGTCCTTTGCAAGCCAGACGTGGCCTCCCAGCCTGCATTTCATCCAATCTTCTCCAAGGCATTCTTGCCATATCCTCTATTCTGATGTGGGCGGCGGGGGGTGGGTGGGGGGGAGGAGAGATGGTTCGGCTGAGCAAAGCAGTCCCCATTGTTTTATGCTCACTTGCCCTTTAACAGCGTCAAGAAATCCAAGATCAAAGGGACTTTGGGTTAGGAGAAAATATTATGTACACAAGACATAAAAAGCATCCTTTATTTCAAGCCGGACCAGTGCCAGGTGCCGGAGGTCAGAGCAGCCTTTTGGTGGCTTGTCAGAGGACAATGGGAGTTCTCAAGGGGCACGTCAAGGCCGTGCAAAGGGATATGAGGACTCGGAAGGGCCCAGCCTTCGCCCCCTCCAAGACTTCGATGTAACAGGACTGGGTGGGGGTCAGCTGGGGGAAGCGAGATTTAGGAAGCGGTCCACGTGTAGGAAATTATCTGCGGGGTCAAGAAAGCACCCCAAGGCACGTCTGCAATGCTGGCCTTTGGGGTACTCCCCACTGAACCTGAATGCACACTTTACAGAGGGCACGCTGGCGGGGACGATGGGAGCTGCAGTCCAGCACAACTGGAGGCTGCCAGTTTGGGATGGCTAGTGTTTACGTTGTCACAAGAGAGAGGACACTTTAAAAGGGGATTAGACAGCTTTGTGGAGGGGAACCTCCGTGTTCAGGAAGTATCCACAAGTTCCTGGGAAAACACATCTTAATGGAAATATTGGGCTGGCATCTTTTTTGAAAGTGATGTTTAGCTTGGGAGACCTCTAGATTTTGCTCTTCTTCTTTTTTTCCTGACTGTACTCCTTTTCTTTGATTAAGAGGAAAGCGCTTTGATTTTTTAAAAGACAAAAAAGGTGCACTTTGTGGGATCTGTGGCCTGGCTTCTTTTCCCCTCCCACCGAGCTTCCTTGCCAGTGGGAAAGTAAGCACCACTCATTTGCCTTGTGGTGGGGGACCCTGCTTTGAATGATGGGCTTAGCTACTTTTCAAGAAGTCACCCAAGAACAGGTTGCAAGCGAAGAGGTGCTCTGCAGATGGGCTATTTCTGAACGTGGGTCGAGCAATCTTGTAAAGCAGCGCTAAACCTGTGTCCAGAAATACCTGGTTGGCATGTCATAAGCTCAGAAGAGGGGCAGGATGGAGCACGAAGGCATTCTCCTAGTGCTTCTGTCAGGCCAACCCCCCTCCTGGACTCGTGAAGTGTCAGTTGAATTATTTCTGGATAATGGGAGGCTGGAAGAGAATGGAAGGGGGAAGGAAAATGTTTCCAAAGCCTGAAGTTGGAGGAGAGAAGGAAAAGGAGGAAAAACAGGTACAGGTAGTCCTCGACTTACGACCATTCATTAATGACTGTTTGAATTTATGACAGTATTGAAAAAAGTGACTTACAAGTGGTCCTCGCACTTACGATGGTTGCAGTGTCCTGAGGTCATGTGATCGCCACTTGCGACCTTCCCAGGGGGCTTCCAACAAGCAAAGTCAGTGGGGGAAGCTGGATTCACCTAACGATTGTAATTTGCTTCACGACCACAGCAAAAAGGTTCGTAAAATTGGTGCAACTCACTTAACAACCACATTGCTTAGCAACAGAAGTTCCAGTCCCAACTGTAGTCGTAAGTCAAGGATTACTTGTATTTATTGGGGCCTTGTCATTTGTGGAACGGTGGGCTCACTCCCTGAGAAGAGACTGCGAGCGGCATTAGAAGCGTGCAGGAAGAGAAGACTGAATGTGTGAGACACACATGAGGAGGACATGGAGGAGCAGTTGAGATGAAAAAGGCCTTGGAAAAGTGAAGGAAACTGGCTTGAGCATGCACACACACTCACAGGTACTCTAGAAAGAGGTGCTCTGGAAAAGGACACAATGTGCTTTTGGATGTTGGGCAGTCTCTGGAAATCAGAGGCTGCAACCAAAAGGGAAAGTTGTGGCCCATGACAACGTGAAGGCTCAGTGAGTCCCAAGCAACATCTTCTTCCCCCTCAGCAGGCCCGATTTATGAACGGTCACCTTGGAATCCAATGCCGAGGTTGCGATTACAGTGGGAAAAGTGGAACTCTGCTTCCACTTCTTCTGACCCAATGCGAACTGGGCCAAGATCCTGTATACCCTCTTCTCATCACAGGGATCAAGAAGAGCCCTTCAGTAAGGTTTGATCATGGTTCTCCTGGGGCCTACCCCTTAAGGCACTGTGCTCAGACCTTGGGAGGGGGTGGGAAGGGACAAGTTGCTGGAGCCTCACTACACGGGACTGTAGTGATGCAGAAGCAGCAGAAAAGCTGTAATTAAATTCACCTAGGACCAGGACTAGTGCTAGATCTATTTTCTAAGCGCAGATCCAGTGCTCTTCTGAAAGAGCACTAAACCCATATATGTAAGGTGCCTGCAGAAGACTTGGCCACTGCCTTGTAAACCACCGGTCAGGCATCACGTATCCGTGGAAGTCAGGTGGCCTTGAAGCCTCCTGAAGCCCAAGGCAAAATGGCCACGGAAGGCCACCAGGCAGATAAAAAGGAGGGGACGTGAGCCAGCAACCTAAAGTGGCCAAGCAAAACGGGCAGATCCCAAATCCTGACGGTGGCATCAGCAACCGCTTCACTGATGAAACATGCGAGATCATAATGCCATAGACACAACGGCGTGAGGAGAAGAGGAAAGCACTACATTAAAACTGGAAAGCAATGGATGGCTTTCAGCAACCTCAGGCATGAGAAGGCACATCATGAAGACATGGCGTGGAAGACTATTCCCAGCCCCCCAGGAGGCCACAGTCAGGGCAAGGTGAGGGCGAGCCCAGAGAGAGAAAACCTCTGTGCTGGTCCAGAGTTCTCTGCCTGCATCTCTTTCTTCCCCCCGGAGTTGGAGGAGGGGGCACCATGCTTCTAGCAGGACAGAGTTGGTAGGCAGCCTCCTGCTGAGCCGAGAAAGACTTTCTGTTTGAAATGAATTGAACTGCTTTCCCGACATGGAGGGCGCAGGCCAGGTTCCCCCAAAGCAGCCAATCTCAACCCCCAAGGATTGATTGATTGATTATTTATTTATTTACTTGTCAAATTTATGT